CGCCCGATGGTGTAGAATAGTCATCATGGTTCCCTGATTCACTCCCTGAATAATCCTCAATATCATTCAAGCCTACCTGTGGCTCAACATGCACAGGATGACGGTGACTCACCGAAGGGTTGACAGGGCCAGGCGCAGTCTGCGTGCCTTGTCCAGCTACAGCTTCTCCCCCCAGTGGTACCTCATTTTGCTGCTGGTGAATCTCAACTTGTACATTCATCCGATGATTCCCAGCTAACATGCTAGAATGTTCAGACTGAACAAATTCCCGACGTAAGTTAACATTATTAACGTTACCCTCCTCACCCCTGGTCTCAAACAAGGCCCTCCTTGCGCCAGGAGCTGACATGGTATGGGAGTTGAACCTCCCCAGAATCCTCCTGATTTCCATTATCCCTCCCTGAAGTCGCCATCTCAATTTCCCAATGAAATTCGATGTAAGCGTTGAAACGGCCAGTCTTCCCCTGGGTGGAAAGATTTGTGAATATTACTTCTTCTTCGTCGCTGCGCGATATGACGATGGTTGATCAGGCCTCCGTCCTCTTCCAAAAATAAATAACGCTGCCACCAAAATGTTAGAGTCCCGAGCGGTTGGGTTCGGTAATTTGGAAGATTAAGACACTCGCGAACGAATACTATAATAATATTCTTTATTTAATTTCTTACTTTTTAGATACCATTCAAGTGTTCAGACTGATACGGAAGGTATCAGGTGAACCGCAATAGGAATCGAGTTACTGGCCCCGAGACAATGGTCTCTCGAGTATTTATTTGATCGAGAGCCCATGACGTCGTGGTCATTACCTCATATCTGCATGGTGTAATGATAACACCATGCGAATGAGCCCAGTGGAAACTGCTGATGCGAGTTCCACTGGCTTACTTTTAATTGCGAATATACGTGATACATGATTGCACGTATATTCCCAATTGTTTAGTAATTGCTTAATATTATATTTGTATATCACAATGTGTGCCACTTATATTGGAATATTGTGAAATAAGTTGGATAATTATGCTCCACTTTTGGGGCATAACATAATGTCAGTAAAAAATTACTATTCTGTGTGCAAATAATCATGGACACCTTAATTTTTGCCGACAAGTCTACTAATTTTCGAGTGTAGTGTCTGAATATTCCACTCGCGTACCTTGAATTGTCGCAGACTAATAATGAAAAACAAGTACATTAAGAATAATTTCCTTATGAGAAGATTTTTGAGTCATATTGTAAATGGCTAAAAATAAATACGTTCCGGAGTCTACTTTAAGGTATATCCCTTGAAAACCCGTTCTTATTAATATTATCCCCGTGTTTTTCATAGCTGATGTTTATAATAGTCCCCAGCTATTGAAAAAAAATGCTAACTAGCGGTACTACACAGTTTAGGAGATAATAAATAATGAAATGCGGGCTTCTAACACNAACATGCGAATTTCTGCAATTTTTAGTCATATGACCCATTTGACCGCAAGAGTAACAGCTTCCGACGATTTGACGACNGGCCAATCGATGGTTATGGGTCCCTCCGAACTCGATCTTATGAGAAAACGGTTCTTACAATGTTCTACAAGAACTAATTCGTAATAGATTGATGAATTACGAATTCCGTAAATTTTTTGTGAAAATTTTTACTACATAGTTTCAGCGATATTCCGCTCTAAAAAATGGAAATTTCGTGAAAGCATTCCTTATTTGATTCAAAAAATTAATTAACAAATAATTTCTGTAGTATCGAGAAATTCCCTATGTACAGTTCTATTACTTTTATTATAGGCGAATAACGTAGAATATTCTAGTTATAGGATTATCTCTTTTTGTTCATGGGGAACTACGTCCGAAGAGTAGACGTAGGGAACTAAAATGTATAAAGTTTATTAGGGTAGTTTATTATGGTAGGATTTGACCAGACGGAGGATTTTAGAGTTTATTGTGGGTCTAAGGGCCCAGGTGTGACTACCGACGGGGACTACCCCATGCCAATGATGTCAGAGGGGAGAGGATCACGTGGGCCTTAACCCTGGCCCACGCCGTGACGTCAGAGGGGAAAATGAATCACGTGAACCACGCCTGACCCCTGACTGCCATCAGGGGGGGTTTCCAGAAGGTTCTAAAGAAAACCAAAGTCGGGGTGTCGCTAGGGTCGCTTCGGAAGTAGGGAGGGCCCTAGGGCAATTATAAAAGCGAACGTCAATCGAAGCGTAGAGATATAGTTGACGTAGAGACCGACGGCGGTAGCTGTGTGGTTGTAGCTGTGGGGGCCAAAATTTGTGACACTCTAAATCTCACAGTTTTATTGTCGAGCGGGAGTCTCGCAAGAGACGACTGTATCTGGGCAGGTTTTTCCCTCAAATGAGGTCTTCCCTTGTCCTTTGACGAATGCGGTACAAGGGGTTGGGGGGTGGGAAGGGAACAGATCGTAAAGACCCGAAAGGGTATATGAGAAGAAAAAATTTTTTAGTTGACGTAGAGTTGACGCAGAGTCAAGAGAGACACGATAAAGTTTTACTCACAGAGATTATGGAGTTCGAGTTGGAATAGTGGAGAACGTAAATTCAATATTTTCATTTAATATTATATATCCCATGTATTATAAGAGTGAAGTGCTCGTGTAAATAAATGTATATATATTTGAACATTTGTGTCTAAACTTTAACGAAAAATCCTTTTAACACATAACCCCACATTTATTTGATTCAGTTACCCGAGTGAAAATTGCTTCAGGCCCACCTGAAGCATGATCAAAACTTGATCAGGTTTTTGTAAGGTTCGACTGATGCGGTGATTCCTGATGAGAACCTGACCAAGTTCTGATCCAGCATATCGGATCAAAAAAACTACAAGCAGGTTCAGATCAAGTTCTGATCAGGTAGACATGATCGGATGATGCCTGATGAGAACCTGACCAAGTTCTGATCCAGCAGATCGCATCCGAAAAACTACAGGCGGGTTCAGATCAAGTTTTGATCAGGTAGACATGATCAGATGATGCCTGATGAGAACTTGACCAAGTTTTGATCCAGTAGATCGGATCCGAAAAACAGCAGGATGATTCAGAACAAGTTTTGATCAGGTAGTCACGATCCTACCCTGAGGTGGGCTGCCTGACCCCAATTTGATCAAATTCCGATTTGATGCCTTTGATCGGCATTTGAACGGGGTCAATTGAAGAGAAAATGATCAGATTCAGATCCGGTCCACCTGACATTAATTTTAATAAATTTTTCGGATAATTTAATTAACTATTATTATACTATTCAAATTAAGTTTTATCAACCATTATCAATAATTATTTTCAATCTTTAAAAAGGATCATTACACTATAATTAAAATAAATTAAATTAAATTAATCAATTTAATTTAATTAATCAATCTAATTAACAGCCAGCCCTTCTCAAATGTACAGAAGGGAGGTATGATGATGTCGTAGATACGTATTAGAGGAATATCAAACTTACACGCAAATGATGTTGAGAAAAAAAATCACCAAATGTCTATTTATTCATTAGCATTATTGCTATTATCATTATTATTATTCATTAATGAAATAAATAAAAATTTAATTGAACATATTTTATCTGTGAGAATACCCGAGTGGAAATTGCTTCGGGCCTACCTGAAGCACGATCAGCACTTGCTCAGGTTTTTGTAAGGTTCGACTGATCCGGTGATCCTCATGAGAACCTGACCAACTTCTGATCCAGCAGATCGAATCCGAAAAACTGCAGAATGATTGGAACGATGAATGATAGAAACGATCTCACCCTGAGGCCGGCTGCCTGACCCCAATTTGATCAAATTCGGATTTGATGTCTGATCGGCATGTGAACGGGCTCTGAAGAGACGGACGGTCTGAAGAACGGGGAATTGAAGAGGAAATGATCAGATTCAGATCCGGTCCACCTGACATTAATTTTAATAAGTTTTTCGGACAATTTAATTAACTATTATTATACTATTCAATTTAAGTTTTATCAACCATTATCAATAATTATTTTCAATCTTTAAAAAGAATCATTATACTATAATTAAAATAAATTAAATTAAATTAATTTAATTTACTGAATTTAATTTAATTAATCCATTTAATTAACAGCCAGCCCCTCTCAAATGCACAGAAGAGAGGGATGATGATGCCGTAAATACGTATTATAGGAGTATCAAACTTACACGCAAATGATCTTGAGAAAAAAAAATCACCAAATGTCTATTTATTTATTAGTGTTATTGTTATTATCATTATTATTATTCATTAATGAAATAAATAAAAAGTTAATTGAACATATTTCATCTTTGAGAATACACACGCACATCCGCGAGATCAGGAATAATCGTAAATTCAACGAATACTCCGATACAAATCATATAGGCTATGTACAGTTTACTCAATAGTAATAGCGCGATAGCGTAGTGGTTAGGGCATAGGATTAGCAATCATAGGGTCCCCGGTTCGATCCCCAGCATCGGTAAAAAAATAATAAGCTTTTTCAGAGGTAATAACAGTAGAGTATCATTAAGAGAGACAGCCTACGGTGAAAGAATTGAATTATCTTTTGTTTTGGATTAATTATCATTGATAATTGTTATCGATACTGACAGACAGGTCATCTAGTTTTCATACAGTTGACTTGATCAAGTTCGGATCCATTCGTCCTGATCAAATCCGGATTGGTCAGAGGCGTAACATGTCTGATCAAGACCGGATCCATCACCTTGATCAATACCTGATCAGTGGTCAGGTCTAACCTGATCCAAACTTGATCAAGACCTGACCAGAATTTCCATTCGGGTAACCGGGAGCAGGCAAGACAACTAAGGACTAGGATAAGGATCGACCTTTCATGAATCGATCGATATAATCAGAAAGCCCACTCATTTGACGATTATTCTGCTTGCCTCTCATAGTCTCATTTGAATGTATCTTAAAGTATGCACCGGGAACGTATAAAAACACAATTTTTGCTTAATGGATAATGTTACATCTTTTCGGAATTTTCAGATGGTTTATCTCTTGGAACGGATGAAATACAATTGGAAAATTTTTCCGAAGGATAATGGACTCCACATGCTCCATGAGCACAGTGCTTATGCAAAGAAATATGCTGCGATATATTTAAGTAAGCCATCTCGTCTCATAACAATGGTGACTGGCTTGCGAATAATTGGAAATTTTCTTAGGTCAACTATGGCTGAGTGTTTTCACTTTTATAGCCGAACCTTTCGAGAAGAAGTTGATCTATCACTTCCTCTACCCCGATGTCCATCTGCCGAAGAAATTTCCAATTCCGATAAATGTCCCACTCGACGTAGACACTTGGTATTATTACCTCTGGGCCACTATTTCACTGAGTAAATTTGTCCGTATTACTCTCATTGGCGCATGTGATCTATTATATCTGACGTTTGCGGAACATGCCCGTGGATTTTTCAAGGCTTTGGGGTGATATACATTCTATATTTTAGAGAGTCATTTATGGAATTCTGGGTATCTAAATTCTGATTTCTTTTCCATCTTTTGTTGAAGATATGTCATTGAAAATATACCGCCTCACGACGAGTCTGAAGGGGTTGATCGCAGTTTCGAATATTTGAGAAGTTGCGCAATACTACACAATCGTGCTATAGAGTGGGTTATTGACATGAGACACCCAGGAAAAAATTTCGTAAAAAAACCTAGCGAATTCGATGGAAAATATTATTATTTTATGGCTGATTGTGGAATTCCGCAGCTTTCTTGCGCGTCTTTTCTTTAGTAGAACAAATCGAAACCATTTTCTAGAAAAAATCTGTAGACTTTCATCTTTTTATAGAACTTTCTCTATAGTGATTCCTGGACATGAACGTTCTAATTTTTTTGCACTCTATTTTTTTTTCTCTTTTCATTGAAAATTCCAACAAAAAAAACTGAACCACAGGTGTTCTATAAAAAATATCTCAATAAAGTTGTATCGAAAAATCGTCTTGATTTTTCACTAAGCCGAAGAGTTTTTTTTTCGATTTTCTCTGAAAATGGACAATTTTCTCCCATTTCCTAGAAAATTACAGAATTTTTGCAAATTTCTTCTGAATCCAATAATTTCCTTCCATTTTTCATTAACAAAATCCACAATTTTCTATTTCAATTCACTATTTTCTTCAATTTCATTTAAAATCCAAACACTAATAAATAGTGATACCGCGAGAAACTTCACGAGACATCGCGAGACATTGCTTTGAAGGGATTGTCACGGTGTCAACGAACATGGAAATCTTTGGTCTCGTTTCAGTCTCGAAAAACTCCTCTCGTGATGAGTCGAAATCAATTTATCATCGGTCTCAAGTCTTTCGTGTTTTTTAATGTACTACACTGTTAAAAAAAATGGAATTTCATGGACAACTGACTACTAATTTTCAGGACAGTGACACTGAATGATATTTAAGGGAAAAAATCATGAAATTTCAGATTTTACAGTAAAATCATAAAATTTCAGAAAAGTCAGTAAAATGCCAGAATTTTAAGCAGCATAAAGACGAGAATTTTCCGGGACTGAATTTTAGCCAATCACAGCGCAGTATTCGAGTTCACGATACTCTTTTGTTATCAAATTTTTTCGGAAATTGCACACTAGCTTCTGGAAATTGCATCTGATAATTGTATAGTAGCTCTTCATTTATTCCTAACGAATTGGATGTTTTGCTGAAAGAAGCCCTCGAATACTGCGCTCCGCTTGGCCAAAATCCAGTCCCGGAAAATTCTCCGCCGAATACCCTTCGACCTTCAAAATTAATCGCGATATTTCCCTTAAGATTCCCTGCAAACAAACAAAAGAGCTGCGCACTCAGGATTTTTAGCCTGCAACTTGACACTTGTTTGTTTGCAACGAAGCTATCGGGAAATATTCCGATAATTTTGAAGGTGTCGGGGTATTATAACTAAGAATTCCTTAATGTATTTGAATTTCTAATCTAATGTGAATATTCAATACCAAATTACATTGTATTTGCAGTGAAAGCTGAAATTTCATGATTTTTTCTCCCTAAATCGCATTTAGTATCACTGTCTTGAAAATTAAAGAATGTATTTACCATAATTTTCTGGTTTTCTATTCATTTTCCGGGAATAATGGAACTGAAATTTACAGTTCTCTTTGATTTTTCTACGAAATTCTGAATTTTCAGTGGTAATTAAGTTCGATGAAGATTTCCGAAAATTGCACCGGAAATTTCAGACAAAAATCGTTAGCAGTGTTGGAAAGGGGCGCGCGCTACGCACACGTATGAAATATCGGAGTCTCAAGTTAAGCTAAGTCACGATATCACAGACTGCTAATATTAATTCAATATTCATATTGCTTTTCAGAGTGATTAATTTTGGAAAATAATGAATCGGCCTAGAACTAATAGGAAAATCCATAAAAATGCAATGCAATTTCCTAGCGAATTTGCTGGGTTTTTCTATGAAATTTTTTCGTATGTGTAAGATTGTAACAAAATTGTAATAAACAGGTTTGCAGAGCACGTCAGAGACGTCTACCTCTGGTCTTACTTGGGAGTAATCATAACCAACACTCTTATGATTACTGGAACTGGTGTACAGGTGAAATAATCAGACCCTTCTACCCAGAGAAATGGCTTATTAAAATTAAATAAGTATATCATTCGAATCAAGCACATCGTTTATTGACTTACTAGCCACATGGGGCGCGCGCTTCATCGATCGGCTAGTTGAAAATTGATGTAGAATAATTGATATGATGATCAATATGATCATTGATATAATGATGATAATGATTATTGTTTTTTTTATTCATTCCTAAATGAATGAATGATCACATTGAAGGAAATATTATTTATGATAAGTCAAAGTCAATGAAGAAAAAGTTGAAGTTTCTCGAGCTTCCAAAAAAAATTGAGAATTTTTTTGAATTCACTTGAAAACTCAAGAACTTTCTTGGACTCATTAAAAAACTTGAGAATTTTCTCGAATTTTCTAGGAGGCTAGAGAAATTTCTTGAATTTTCCAGAACATTTCAGAAAACCTGAGAACTTTCGACGAAACGGCGAAAATTTCAAGGAAATACGTATCTCATAATAATAGAAATGAGAATAATTTATCTAAGAACTATCGTAGAACATTCTCGAGTTCTCTCGAAAGTTCTAGAAATTTCTACTATCATTGGCTAAATAGATGTTTTTAGTTTCGAAGAATATTCACTCATTTTCTACAAAATTCGAGAAACCTCCAGAAAGTTGTTGAAATTTCTAAAACTTTCTGCGTTTCACCCCTTTAGGGGGTGAATTTCCAAAAACCCTCCCTTAGTGGGAGTTTACGTCACTAAGGGTAGCTGTAGGCAAAAGCTCATGCCCGTAGCTTTGTAGTTTGGGCTGTGCCTTGATACATCAGTCGCCTCGAAAATGGCTTCTCCTTTATATGTATATAAGATTAGTTCCATATAATTCAAAGATTCATTGAAATATTGATATGAGTTCATTAATGCCCAACAGAAATATTGTTGAAATGAATAGAAAAATGTCAAATAAAGGGTTTGACTCGATTCAAATGCGTCGTTTCTCTGGGTATATATTTAGATATTTTTAGATAATTTAATCTCACATGATTGCTCTGAATCAAATGAAATTAGGTGGTGCACAACTATCATAATACGGAGAAATTGATAAAGTTCACAATTAATTTGACAACTCAATTGTTCCATCTTTTCATCCAGTGCTACACCGCTCAAAGAGTTATGGATGCCAGCTTTGATCTCAAAGATGCTCTGTATGTTCAATTTTCTCTTTATAATTGGTATAATTAATTAACTATATTGTTGAATTTTCAGAACAAATGCAAAGTGGTTCAATGCTTCAAAGAAAGCCCAGAAGTTGATACCTCTGATGGTCATGAGGGCTCAAAATCCGGTGGTTATAACTGCTGGAAAGATGTTCGTTATGAACATGAATCTTTTTACGGTGGTAAAGTCTCAAAACTTTTCCTTTTCGACATGTATGACACAATTGAACAGAACTAACGCTTTCTTTAAGGTATTTCATTGAATTTTTATTGGGATTCGATAAGAAGTCAATCGGAGCCCTATTAGAATTTTTGAAATATCGTGTGTGACGTGCAGGGATGGCCATCAATATTAAATTTCTTCAATATTAAAAGATTTTGCGACTTACATTGATAAATATTTGAATATACTCATCAAAATTAAAAAATAATATGATGAAAAAAATTTTGTTTCCTCTCGTATACCCTTTCGGATTTTTACGATTTGTTCCCTTCCCACCCCCAACGCCCTGTATCGTATTCGCCGAAGGATAAGGGAAAACCTCATTGGCGGGAAAATCTGTCCAGGTACACTGAGAGAAAAACGACAATCTTCTCAAACAAGTCTTGTTTGTGCCAAGAAAATAGTTTTTTGAAAATTACCAAAAAAGGATTTTTTTGTGACAAACATGCAGAAAGTGCGCCGAGATGAAAAATTTTCTTCGCAAAAATGGATTTAGCAGTTGAAAAAAAATTGTATTCTCTGTACATGCAAGAAATGTCATTTCCATCACTACTCCTTCGTTATTCGATACTCCCACACGTATGTTGCTCCCGAAAAATGTTTGCTTTATGCGAAATAAGGAATGGTAGTTTTCTGTTTCGGTTATCTAATAATCACAGATAAGAAATGAATTCTTAAATGAAACAATAATAATGATATGATAACAATCTTCTAACTTAGGGACAAAATATTTCTTGATAAATTTTTCTTTATATGGGACATTTTCATCCTGAGAATGCACCGTCTTGTATGAATTATCCGCCTCTTGAGTCAAATATTATTTCGTTGTTGTTGAAAACGGAGCAATTATTCATGTTTGGAATTTTCAAATTCGAACCAAACAAATTCTTTTTTGGTAATTTTCAACTAGTGATTTTGTTGGCACAAACAAGACTTGTTTCAGAACGTGTTTGTTTTTCTCTCAGTGTACAGTCGTCTCTTGCGAGACTCCCGCTCGACAATGAAACCGTGAGATTCGGAGTATCACAAATTTTGGCCCCCCGCAGCCGGGAATCGAACCCGGGTCTCCCGCATGCCAATCCCACACTTTAACTACATAGCCACCGCCGTCGGTAAAATAATATATATTAATAGTTTAAATTTCCGATTGATGATGAATTAAATATTTGATAATATAGAACTGTAAATTTTCCATTAAGTGAATATTTCTAATTTCTTAAAAGGGATTATCGATTCCAAATAATCTGCAATCTTCCTAAATTATTAGTTAATAAAATAGTTCAAAATTTGAATATTTAAGTTGATGATTACTTGAATAATTAAAAGTTTAAGAGTGATGTTAACTAATTGACAGCTTCAAAATTTAACGGTAATTATGGTTGATGAATATGGCTATCCCTGGTGACGTGGGGAAAAAATAAACTCATTTTTTTTTCTTCTTGCAGGGTCACCTTTTTGACCCAAAGCTCGGCTAGATTTACGGCGGGGCTCACGGGGAGTTCGCTCAAATTGTAGACCGTATTGAGATAGGATTCCGGAGGGATTTTATTTAATAATCAAACACCATTTAATTATAATTGAAGAATATTAATTGAATAGAATCGATACTATAAAATCAAATGATAACTAATTGGGTTCGGTATCGTGCGCGGAACTATTTACTCAATATTCCTGGCTATACGAGTGGACGTCCGTCCCACTTCGGCGCCTGCCGTACTCTGCCTTATAAAATTTCATTGCTTATGTAGGCGTTTTTTTTTCGATAGAAATGTTCAATGGAAAGCATTCTATAAAAAAATCACTGAAATCCGATTTGCTATACGACTTATGGCAAGACATTTTCCGTAAAAATTCTCCCGTTCAAATTTTCTAGATATTTTTGGTCAATTTTTTTAATGAAAAACGAAGAAAATAGAATGGAAAAAGTTCAGGAAATTCGTGTCGAGGAATTCCTATGGAAAATGGCTCAATAGAAAAAGTTGTATAGAAAGATGAAATTTTACTGATTTATTGTATGAGAGTTTCTCTTGGACATTTTTTATTTAAAAAAACGTGCTTACAGCTGCAAAATCCTCTAAAAACTATAGAATCAGCCGAAAGCTGAAAGATTTTTCACCAGAAATTCAATGGAAATCCAATAGAATTTTGTGGGTAAACTGTCCATCAAATTATTTTCTAACAGTATATAACTTTTTCATGATGTTTTCACAGGTGGTGAAGACAGCAGGATCTTATCTCACGGTGTTGTTAGCTCTGCAATAGACTGACGTTGTTATCATTTTTTTTCTCTACATCTTCGAATTTGGCACGGAATCTAATAGTGTTCAGATGCCATAGGAAATTCAATGTGTCTTCAACGTTTTTTCCACCTCCAATCACTTGATTAGAATGCAATAGTGTAGATGATAATTTGAGGCAAATCGCTTCGAACCTAATAAAACACAACTATTGGACGTTGTTCGAATAATCCACATATTATCAACTTTCAATCTCTTTATTTAAACCTTAGAAAATCCTTAAATTAACAATATTATTCAGACAGTCTCCTGTTGCGTCATCCTCACTATAAACCATTACACACATCGTTCTCTCAACTTCTCGAAGCTTCTACGATGAGGCTGCCCTCTATCATACACGAATCAAATTTTGTTTGAAATCATATTTTCCAACAGACGTAAAAAATTAGTAACATCGATTGATCCGAGGGGCCATTCATTTGTGAAATCACCGTGTCACTCAGGACTAAAATCGTATGAAATGCGTTCAAATCAAGTGAAATCAGTGAAATCTTAAGATTTCATTGATTTCAGGTAACTTCAATTGAAGTCACTTGAAATCGGTGAACTCTGATGAAATCATGAAATGAGTCACTCATGTGATCCTGTCGAATACACGGAGAGAAATGTTCAGTAAAAATTACGGAACTCCCCTCTCGCTCACCGATTACGGAATTGACTCAGAAAATTTAAGTGACAGTATCGTAATTTTTCACAGGAGATTCAGGTAAAAATTACGGAACGCTCTGGAAAAATTCCGCGAGAGTTCCGTAAAATTTCCTACAACCATATTTTGCTCCAGAATTACGGAAAAAATACGTAATTTTTATTGAATATTTCACTCCGTGTATATAAAAGAGAAAGAAACTTTTGACTTATTGCTGGTGTATTCTTCTTCGTATGCTCACCTACGTGTATTATTTTTATTAAAAAATTCTCGAACTTTAACCAATGACTACTCATGGTTATGTGGCTATTGGTCAATATGACCAGACAATTGCCTATCCTTTTCTATAAGTTTCCTATTAACATTTTATCGAAGGGCTGAGGAGAGAGATAGAACCGTAAAAAAACAATCGGTTGTATAGAAGAAAGGGATAACAAGAATAATGATAATGATAACATTCAACTAAGTTGAAAATCTGAGAAAGGGTTTAGCGGGATAAGCATGGTGAATCTGCCCCCAACGAATTTCAAGGCGGCAATTTTTTCACATGTTCACCACCCAAAAAAACAATTCTGTGTAAAATTTCAGATCACTATATCGATCCCCTGATTTTTTATGCTTAAAAAACTGTTCTTTTCAATTTTTTTTTTTTGAGTATTTCAAAGCTACTTAAAGATATGAAAAATTCTGGAAAATCAAAAACATCAAAATTGAAGAAAGAAATTTTTAATTGATTTTTAATTGTTAAATAATATTTTTAATCGACACTTCTTTCTTTTAAAAAATCATTCTCATAGGTAAAGATTTTTCTACCACTTTGACAAAAATTTACGAGATTCTAGCCTCAATTCCCCACATTTTGAGAAAAAAAAGTTCGAACATTCCATCTTCAACACATTCAAAAAAAATAAAAACCTCAATTTTTTACATTTTTGCATGGAAATCCTTGCGTTAATCATCCCTACAGGTCTATTAATTGATTATTATATCTATTCCAGTATTGTGGCACATCATACTTTTGAAGGAGAGCAATTGCTGGGCAAAGTCGCTAGCGAAGCGGTAGAACGATTTGAATTGACCGGGTTGTTAGCTGAGTTTCCAGACAATATCTTCGAATCTAAGAGAGATAGCGAAATACAAGTCCAATTTCAATTTGTACTAAATTTGAGTTCAAAAAGCTCCAAAGAAATTTTGGTAACAACCTATTTGTGACTCTCGATTCGCTCTACAAAAAAGGTTATGAGAAAACAATGAATATCTGCGTTAGATTCCGAGATATTCATTGAAAACTGACCAATAATAAAATCGGCTTAAATCGTTTTACCGCTCGCTTATTGGAATGGAACGCAGATTATGATGGAATCCCGAAGCTAAGTAGATTCCTATGTAAATTTCCTTTTCAACAAATTCAGGTTTAGAAAACCTCGAAGGAATCGAATGAATCAAACAATATGGCTCAATTAGAGGGCAAACATTGTAAATCAAACCCTTGATTCTTAGAAATTAATAATTTCAAATTATAGATTGATTTTTTCCATTAAAATTTCTAAGTTGGTTTTATACTTCCTTGTAAAAATCAGGCAAGCTCAGCAAATGAGGGGAAGGAACCAGCGAAATGATCAGGAGAGTTAAATTATCAGAAGTTTCAAATGGAAGGGATGAGCAAAATGATTGAAAGTATCGTATAGGCCAAAGTGAGCGCGATGAGCCATTGGACTAAATATATAATCAGAATAGTCGAATCTGAAACGACTCCTATCGAGGTCTTTCCTTAACATTTTGATTTTCTTAATTTTAATCAACTAACAAGTGGACGTTAATTCTACTTAGTTCCCTAATTTCCGATAATTGAATATTATTTTTTACCCACTATTCACCAGGAGATAGTAAGGTTTTGATTACGAATTTGATAATATCAAATGTGTGTTTGATCTGCTCAATTCCCCTGACGATTTGCATAATACTTTCTGTCAACAACCTGCGTGGCTTCTTCTCTTCTCGATTCAATTTCTCAGGAGTGAAAGATTTGTGGTATTGTTGTACTTTTGGGAACCGCCACGGATTTTTAATTTTATATATGGATTACCAGATTTGTTTTATGGTAGAGATTACACATGATGTTTGATGCTTATTCAACTGATTTCCTTGGAGCTTTCCGAATTCAATTTTGATAAAAATCGGAGTTCAAATAGGACTTCCCGAGTCGAAATTTTCCTGGATCTCCCAACGTAGTTTCAAGGTCCCCTGGTGGGTTCAAAGCGTTGAAAATACGTTGTCCAGTGTACAGGCTCAAATGCACCGATTCAACCTACTTTCGACGTAAATACCGTCTCTTTTTTCCATTTTTCCAGATTGTACGTTGAAATTAGGTTGAAACTAAACGTATCCCCAACGTTCCTCCACCGTACATTCTTTCCTTCCTTTCTCCCCTCTACACTCTTCACCCTGCTAGTTCTATTCTAACATCGATTAATTGATTAATTGATCTTGCATAAATTAATCGGTGGAAGAATGGAAAAAATATAAATATTATCAACTCGGTGAAGCAAAAATGGGAAAAAAAGAAAAAATCGATCGGTCCATTGGTTCTCGAGATATCCCTGCTTGTAGTTCTGCCGTGTTCCCTTTCGGTCACCCATCCTTTTTCTGGTTTTACTCGCTACTACTCAAGCTCAGTGATGGCAGGATATCCCAGTATGTTTTTTTTTAACCAAGTTTTTATTCAATAAAAAAAACAGTCAATATTTACAATATTTACAAACCTTAAAAACTAGTATCAAAAAAGGGTTTTCCATATATATAATTGTATGGGATGTATAAACTTTGGCCTGGAGGGGCTCTCTAGTTTATTAAGTATCGTAAATTGTCAAAAGCGAATTTTCATGAGGATTTTTAATGACATTGTATTCCTCTTAATGAGAATTATACTTCATTTGTTGCATTTCATATTTGTAATAAATTTTTGGGTGCTTAAAAAAATAGAATTTTTGCGTCAATGTAAAAAAAAGCACATCAGTATTTGCAGAAGGTTTTGAAAAAAGATTGTAATTATTATAATAAATAATTACATAATGTGAGTCATCCAATATGATTCACTCTTCTATCTATTAATACAATTTTGATATCTGTATAATCAATGCTTAATTAATAGAAGTCTTCGTATTATTGTTAATACCTGAATTTTTTCCCTTCAAAATCGGGAAATCCTAATTTTTTTCTTTTCAGAAATGAAACAGAAGTTTTTTGAAATTTTAAGGAGGACGGAAATTATGCCTATTGTAACGACCCTGGGGTCTATTTCTATTCGATTGATTGAACAACTCTTCCCGAATTTTCAACTCTCTCATATATTTGTCGTTATCGTTCAGCCACCAGAATTTTTTCTTCACTCTCGAGAAGTCTTCAATGTCGACTTTCGGGATATCCCGGTATACTTCTGAGCTGTACAGTTGCTTGTGGCGAGTTGTATTTTTTTCGAGTTTATATAAGCACCTAATACAAGAAAAATAGGAAAAAACAGAAAGAAAGTCGGCAATAGAGTAATACAGGAAATTAAGAGGAAAGGAGCAAGGGGAGGAGATGAGAAAGAATTAGAGTCCATATAGGTCTAAGGCGTCTAAGGGTCGGACCCTTCATATAAAAGTCAGTGAGTGTAAAGATCCGATAAGTGTAAGAGATAGTTGAGTCTGAAGGATCACGCGAATCTAAGGGTCAGTTGAACCTAAGGGTCAAAAGAGTACGAAGGGTCAGGCGAATGTAAGTGTCAGTTCAGTAAGGGTCAGATAAGTAAAAGGCTCAGTTGACTTTAAGGATCAGTTATGTTCAAGTGTCAGTTGAGTTTAAGGGTCAATTGAGTTTAAGGGTCAAATGAATCTAAGGATCAGATGAGTATAAGGATCAGATGAGTGTGAGGGCCAGATGGTTTTTTTTATTAATAAGCGTAAAACCTTCAGCATCGGGCCAGATGGATACAAGGGTCAGCCGAGTCCGAAGAATCACACGAATCTGGGGGTCAAAAGGGTATGAAGGGTCAGCCGAATACAAGGATCAGTTGTTTATGGGTCAGATAAGTAGAAGTCTCAGTTGAGTTTAAAGGTTAGATGCGTCTCAGTGATAGTTGAGTTTAAGAGTCAGATGGGTCTAAGGGTGATTTGAGTCCGATTCAACTGACAGTTGAATTCAACTGAGATTTTTAATTATCTGACCCTTACAAAACAGACCCTTGGATTCGCGAAACCCTTCGTACTCTTTTGACCCTTAGGCTCACTTATCTGACCCTTAGATTCGCGTAATCTTTTGGACGCAACTCACCCTTATAC